ATGTGTATGCTCATATATACAATAATCTCATATCATTTTGAATGAACAATAAGGAAAAATGGAGTAAAAAATTGTAAAAATATTTAAAAGGTTAGAAGTGAAAAACACAAAAGTTAAACGGAAAAGGGAACATTTTTTTTTTCTATATGTAAAGTAAATATTAAATTTGAGAAAAATTTCCTCTATAAATTTTTTAGTTTTTCGTTTCCTAATTTTTTTTTTTTGTTTTTCAAGAAAATGGAAGGAAAAATAAAATTTCAATTTTCTTATTAACTTATTTTAGTAATTTCCTATTACTGTCCTTTATATTTTTTCTGCTTTCCTTTTTGTTTTTCATTTTCAATTTGAATTCATTTGTTTTATAGAGAAAGATTAATATTACATGGAAAAGTTTTAATTTTAAATTCAAAATTCAAGTACATTATACTATTGTATAGATTAAAACGAACTGTATACGGGGTGGCTCCTATTAAAGTGCCTTCATCAGTAGACAAGTCTATTGTCTTGAGTTCTTTCTTCGAATTTTAGCACAGCTGGCAACCTTATCTACTGACCTTTAATTTGGTATAGGGATCATCTCCGTACCTATTCTGGTTTGGGAGCTATTTAGAAAAATAGAATCTTATTTTGTACCAATTTTTTTTTCTTCAATGACTTACAGAAATGTACAACAACCGTTCAAAATAGTGCCTTCTTTCTGTTATGCAAATGATCAACTTAAGAACCGAGTTTTCTTCATACGTTGCCTCATTGGCAAAGTTGTGTAAGTCCATGTACAAAACTTTTTTTAAAAATGAAAAGTTAAAATTTTAAAATTTTCGAATTTTAAACTCATGTGATTCCGAAAAATAAACAAATTATAACTACTGTAGATATTCATAAGAAAGCCCTTATTCTGAAATTTTCAAATCATATTTATTAATGCGCCTGTCTTACACAGGCACGGAATTATATTTAAAATTTAAAAAAATAAAAATACCAGTCGAAATTGACTTTGAGTCTGTACAACTACGAACCTGTTCGTTCAGCTGTGAACGTCGTCTTCATACAAAAATGTTTTCCTATTCATGAGGGCCTATATAATGGTATGTAGCAGTATACTTTGATACGAGACACCCTGTGTATATAAAAATATTTAAATTAATTTTTTTTTTTGTCTTATGGCAGACACAAGAAAAAGGGGGAAAAGTTTATGAAAACAGTTAACATTTTCATATTGCAATGCATTTAATTAAAAATAAAAAAGAAAGGAAACAAAAAACTTTTTGATATGCAAATAAAAATTAAAAAAATTTTATAAAATTAAAAATTTTATTAAAAATTACTAAAATTGAATATTTTATCACGAAAAAACAAAAAACAATTTTTAAATTTAGGACGATGCAATTCATGACTTCTAGAATTGGTTCTTGTTCATTAATAAAATTTGAAATTTACAATTAGTTTAATAACAATAAAGCGATTTCTTTTTTTTTTAATAAAAATTTTAATTAATAGAGGGTTGCCATTCAAGATAGTAAATCTTTATTATTGTAGTAGTGGCTAGTGAGATTGCATGGCTTACATATGTCGCTAAATTGTTTAAGTTGAAAAAAAAATATTAACAGGCATATAAAGCAGCTAATTAAAAATACATGGTTTTTACTCACAAAAGTTTAATTTCCACAAAAAAAAATCTCATTTTTACTTCATTTGGGATAATTCCAGTTCCGCGACCACTGATCTATACTCGTACAAACCGTAGAAAGGCTCAGATCAAATAAATTTCCATCCAGCGCAACAGTTGAACGGCTTATCAAACTCTCTTCAAATTCATGTTCACCCACATAAGTGATTAATGATAGAACGACTTTATTTTTCGTACCCAGTTCTATTAGACCACATAATTTAGAAAACTAACGATATGATCAGAAAATTAAAAAGTATAAAAATATTTAATTTTAATTAGAAATCAAAAAAAGAAAACAAAGCTAGCTTAGCTTATCTACCAGCTTATATTAAAAATGATTTACAACAATTTTTTTCTGTGTTTATCTTAAAATGTTCTCAATTATTCATATAAAATTCATAATATTCACATAAATGAAACATGAAAACTTTTAGATAAAAATTTATAACGTACATAATATAAAAAATTAATATCCTTAGCATATCATAGCTTAAAGTTACCAAAAATATAGAGAAAAAAAATTTTAAGCAACACATATATTTTGTACAGCAACACATATGTATGCATACACTTATATTATAAATAATAACACTAAAATAAAACTTAATTTTCATAATCCGAAGCAGAACAAAACAAAAACAAAAAATTTTATATTTTGAATATAATAAGGAGGAAGGGAAATATGTGCTCCTTTACTCTCCAAAAACCCTGCATATTCTCCAATAAGAAACTGAAACTTTTGTTTCTCTAGAATCTTTGTTTCCCTAGAAATACAATAATAATAATAATAATAATAATAATAATAATAATAATAATAATACCATATTATATAATAAATAACCTGTAGCATCCATATATAATGGTGAAAAATGAATTTCAATAAGAAACGACAGCTCCCTTATTCTATATTTTTTCTTTTCTCAAATTTTTTTTTTTTTTAGTGTATACCATTATAGGCGACAGTTGTCGCTATCATCACTGTATCAACATCAACACCACACTACACTATATACTAACCCCAAAATACAAAAAAATAAAAAATACCGCACATCCTAAATAATAAATAAACTGTTATTATAATTAATAAAACAAGTTTATATTTCGCTACTATAGGAATTTTTGTGGAGGGGGGGTAATAATAACCAACTTTGAATATTATAAACCACTCTCTCTCTCGTTTCCATTTCAAAAAACAGCATAGAAACTAAGCGTATATAGACGATAATTTTTCTTTTGCAAATTTATTGTTTTCTTTGTTTTTCTTCTTATTATTTTTTCTCTTCATTTGTATTATTGTATCCAATGACTTTAATAACGACATGGCGAAAAGATTTATGTTAAAAACTACATAAGAAAAACAAAAATATTTTTTTCATTTTTTTTTTTTATCTAAGGATAGGAAAAATAACAAAAAGGGGGTAGATCTTATTATTTGTTTATATTGTTGCTTTTATTATTGTTGTTGAATCTGAAAATTGTTATGTAGAGTAGTGGAAGAGGTGCGGGTAAAATGTTATCACAAAAACAAGAAAATAAAAAAGAAAACACAAACATAAAACTCATAGAAAAACAAGAATTAAAGCAACAATAAAACAACAATTTTCTTTTGTGGTGGGCGCCTTATATACCAAAAACAAAAAAAAAAATAAATAAAAATAAAATTATCATTATAATAGCGTAACTTAACCATGAAAAATTAAAACCACCCAATTGTTGAATTTTGCTTTTTTTTTTCGGCAACAACAAAAAAAAAAGCGAAAAGATTTATTTTTATTTTATTTTTCCTCTCTTTCTTTTTTCTTTTTAATTCTTCTGCTCCGTATATTCCAACTTTTTAACATAATTTCTTTATATTAAATTTATTTTCATATAAAAATGGAATGAACAAAAAAAAAAAATAAGAAAGCAAAATTGTAAGATATTATGGAAATTAGAAAAGAAAAAAAATGAGAATGAAAATTGGAAATAAAATTATTGCATTTTTAATTATATCGGTTTTTTGTTACATGCGCCCTAAATCACACTTTCAAAAAAAGAAAATATTTTGTTTATCACCAAATCACTGTAATTTCAATCCTAAATAAAAACAGTATAACAGAAAAACAAAAAAATTAAACGAAAACATGAGATTCTATAATTTTCAAAAACATTGCATATATTTAGGGGAAAAAAATTCAAGAATTTGTTTTCTCTCACACTCTCCTAAAAAGAGAAAAAGTTGTATAAGAGAAAAACTAATACTATAGCAATTAGTAACTTTTTAGTCAATGAAGCCAACTAACATTTCTAATTCTAAACAAAAACATTATTTTTTTCTACAAAATGCAAAAATTTTTGATTTTAGCATTTCCTTTTTTTTAGCAGTGCTTTTGTACCCGATTTAGCATTGAAACTAGAATAGAATTTGACTATACTGTTTATACATATACTGTTATAATTTTGTTGTTCGAACAGGTTATAAGTGAGAGTTATCACACAAATTGTTATTCATGCCAATGTTTTGCAACGTTGTGTTACAACTACAATGCTTTATTTCCCTCCTGTTTTCTCCTTTTTAAGTTTTTTCGCTCTTTCTTTTTTAGTTGATATAAAATATAGTAGAAAGACTATTAAATTAAGCTAAAATGACCCGTTAGACAGTGTAAAGAATTGGAATGCCAATACATAGAATATAAAAAATTTTGAAGAGACTTAAATTTTTTGATTGCAATGTTTTAAATCAAATTTTCTCTAACAAATTAAATATTTACTATTTGAATGAATGCAGTTGAATTATTCTCCAGTTTATACCTATATGCAACAATATTTAAATAGAAAGGGAAAAAGGTTTCGAACATGTATTTAACAAAATTGTTTAAGAATATCACTAAGACTTAAAATCTTTTTTTTTTAAATCATAGTAATTCAAAAAATTTCAAATAGAAAAAAAAAATTAAAATTGTCATTTATGTATTTCATAATTTCTTTTATTCAATTCGAAATTATAATTTAGTTTAACAACTAGAAATTATTTATATCGATGTATGTATATGTGTATGGTTAATATTTAGGTTATGTAATATATTACATAAACTGAACTATAAATTTTCCTCTTGAAAATATCCTTTTTCAATAATTGCATCTGACAAAGATTATTCGAAACAAAATATTTTATGAATAAATTTCTTATACCATGATATTTTATGCATTTACATACATACATATGTACATTTATAATGTATAATGTATGTATTCAATATTTCATACATATGTAAGTATGTATGTATTTTTTTAAGTAATATTATCATATTTAAACTCCAATTTATTTAATTATATTTATTTTTATTTTCAGGATGAAAAAAATCAATTGCTCGTTACGAACGTTTGGTTAAAACTGGTAAGTTATTTATTATTAATTTTGTTTAAAATTTTAATTAATCTAATAATTGAAGCCATGTATTGAATATACATCAGTCCTTATTTTGTTTTTGAAAATCCGGAAAAATAGCTAATATAACAAAATGTGGCTTTGTGAGTTGTAATAAAATATTGTAATGAGAACAATGGTGGCAAAAATCATGATTTTTTTCAAAAATTTCACTAAATTTCTTTCAATACCCTTGATAACTTACTATAACATTACATTAAAACTTTCAACTTCAATTCATTTTCCTAATTAACATGTGGTTATTTTTAATAAATCAAACATTTTACTGATTAAATTTACAAAATTTTATATTTAGCATTATTCTTATATTTCAATTAATTTAAAAATTTAATACAGCAATTTTGATAGATGTATAGTCAATATTTTAAATTATTCAATATTATTTTATTCGATAATTTATTATTAATATATATATATATATATATTTTTTAAAATACAGGAATGGAATGATATGAATTTAAGATGGAATACATCTGAATATGGTGGTGTTAAAGATTTACGTATACCACCACATCGTATATGGAAACCTGATGTACTTATGTATAATAGTGCAGATGAAGGTTTCGATGGAACATATCAAACAAATGTTGTTGTTCGTAGTAATGGTTCCTGCCTTTATGTACCACCTGGAATATTTAAATCAACATGTAAAATCGATATAACATGGTTTCCATTTGATGATCAAAGATGTGAAATGAAATTTGGTAGTTGGACATATGATGGATTTCAGGTAATTATATAATATAATATGCTTATATATACATATATAAATGATTTATACATTAGTATATCATAAATTAAAATTGTTATTATTATGTATATGTTTATATATATGTATGTACTTAATAAATCATATTATTTTATATTTAATATTTTCATTTATATAAAAAATATTATATTTTATTGAAATTCTATATTAAAACTGCATATCACTCTAATCTATAATATTATAACAAAGAGTATAACTTCATATAATAATAATGATAATTACAATTTATATGTATAGAATAATTCAAAAATAAAATAATAATTTAGAAAATTTTATATAGAGGTTATATAAGAATGTATATACATATGAATTTAAATTGGTTTTTAATGCAGTATAATACATTTAGGAACATTAAATAACTGCAAAATAGAAATTTATTTTCATTATTATTGTTATTCTATAAAATAGAATGCAATTATATGTATTATTTTAAATTATAATATCTATATACATTGAAGACAACATTTAAGATTATTAAATATTTATTAAAAAAAAAATATATATATATATATCCCAATAAATATTATATAAAAAGTAATAATAATATTGTAATATTTTAACACCATTGGAATATATGGGGCAAATTTAACATAGTCGTATAAGGATAATTGATTGAGAATAAAAATAATGTATGTGTAGGATATTGGACACAATTATTATTTATAATAAACAAGAATAATATTGTATATAAATTTTGAAATTGTATTCATTTAAATAATATAAATATCCTTATACGAATTCCATTATAATGAGAAGTATGTATATTCGAAAAATTTTCAATATTTTGTGGTTATATACCATTATTTAATGAATTTAATGAATTTAATTTTCTTTTGGTATAATATTTAATTAGATTGAGTATTTTCTTATCATTTCAATTATTTACATAGATTTTAAATTATATTAGTGCATATTGTATACAGAACTTTTAAGAAAAATTTAAAGTATATTATTCATAAATGATAAATTAATATTGTAAAACGACATACCAATTAAATTAAATTAAATAGATGATCCAGAATATTAAAGTATAGCAATTAATTTTCAATATTTACGTATATGTAACTGTAGTTTATTAAAATATTTTGGTATTTGATTTTCAAGAATGCTAATCAAATTTAACACTAGACATTAGAAGGCTAGCTTAAAAATTATTTATTTTTCTTTAGTTCAATTTTCAACAGGAATTTTGTATAATAATTTAATAATAACATTGAAAAAATTATAAAATAAAAAAATTCTTTAATTTTAATCAATTAATTTTCTTTATTCTTCTGCATTCTTACAGCTCGATTTACAGTTACAAGATGAAGCTGGTGGTGATATTAGTAGTTATGTTCTTAATGGCGAATGGGAATTATTAGGTAAGTAATGTTATTCTTAATTGATTAAAGAATTAACTCTTAAATCTCATTTAAAAATTTCATCTTTTAAAATTTAAAATTACATAAAATTTAATTAAAATTTTTAATTTTAGAAGAAACTATTTTATTTTCTAAATTTCAATATTTTAAAGGATGAGTTCTAATAATAATACAATAAAATTCCGAAAACTTTATTCCAATAATAATAATTAACATTTTTCAAAATATTAACTATTTAGGTCAGAACTTATTTCTTACTTTATTTAATTCATAAATTTTTCAATTAGAAAAATATTATATATACACATTATTACACATCTCATTTGTTTTATTAATAATTTTTATTTTATAGATAGTCATAGAAATATTATCAGATTTATTTTTTTATTTATACACAAAATATTATTGAAATTCATTATTAGAATTCCCTTTGTAGACAGACACAATAATCTATTCAAAATATTTATGTTTCTTCTCTATATAACTTCTAACATTGAGTAAACAAAATATACAATAAGATTAATGATAATAAAATTAAATGTTAAAATATAATTGCAAATTTAAATATGAATAAATATTTTTGTTGTTTTTATAATATTTCATTTAAATCAAAATAAAAATGAGAATTTTGTCTTGTTCTAATGGTATGAATGAAACCATTGAAAATAAAAGGAAACACAAGACCAAAAACAAAAAAAAAAATAGTTTTATGGTGCCAAAATTGTAATTTTTATTGTAGTTTTTTGGTTTCCTCAAAATCACTTTCTTCTTAAAGTTTCTTATATAAAAAAATTTATGAAATCAAAATAATCAGCTATTATACTATAAGAATCGTATAATGTCCAAATTGAAAATGAACGAACCCATTACATAAGAACGATAAAAGAATTTTTTATCTTTTACATTTTATTTAAGAACAAAACGAAAAATAAAAAATGAAAATGACTGGAAAGAAAAAAAATTAAATTAGTTTTTATTTTTTTTTATTTTATTTATTTATTTCTTTTTTACTCATTATTCAAATTTTATCCCTTTCTTTACTACAATTTGTAAAAATTATTTTGCAAAGTATTTTGAAATTCATTCAATGCTTAAAGATAACAATAAAAATAGAGAAACAAAGAGATGAGAAAGAGAGAGAGCAAAGCTAAAATATTTTTTTTCTTTATCCTACATTTTAATTTTTTTACTTTCCTGCCTCCTAAAGTTTTCCTCTTCAATTTTTTATTTATTTTAAAACGCGGAAAATCTATTTTGTTATGCCTTGCCTGTTTTACTTTCTCTCACCCCCTCTCTCTTCATTTCTTTTTTGATTCTCTTAATATGACTACATATTCTCATTTATTTGGTTTTAATATTCAAGAGAATAGTTTCAGAATTATAAAGGCGAAAGAACTTTTGATGTCATCTTCTTAACGACATCCTCTTTTATAATATAATTTTTAAATAACATTGTACCACTTTTCTTAATCTAATATCCGTTTCCACTATAATTCATATAAAAAAAAAATCCTACGAGATATAATCAGGGACGTGCTTTAGTTATGTAGTTTAATATAAAAGTTTTTTGTTAGTTTTTCACATTTTCGACACAATTATTTATATTTTAAGCGAATAGTTAATTGCCACTGCAAATTTATAAATGGCAACTTAGTTGACAGTTTTGTTTTAGACTACATTCTGAATACTAAACCTTTCTTTAAGAACAAACTTGGAAAGCAAAAACTTCATAGAAAAGAGGCATCTTAAAAAAGTATTATTTTGCTATTATTGCAACTTACGCTTTGTGTACTCGATTAAAACAAATTTTGTATTAGAGCTAAATTCGCATACGTCAGACTAGCTATATATCCAATTCCTTTCCTTTTGTATCTAAAAAGGTATAAAAAATTTTAATAGAAGAATATGACAAAACAGTTGAAATTGTCTTAAATTTTTATAATGTGCTCGAATGCTTTAGTTTCATCTAAAAAAAACCGAAACATATAACAGACCTAACAGTGTATAACAAGTAACATAATTTGAATCGACAACAAAAATAGCTTCATTTCCTCGAAATATTTAATTGATCTAGTTCCACAATTGCAAACTCAAAAAAATCTTATCAAAAATTGGCATCTTGCACACAGCTGCAACCCTATTAGAAAAAACTATGTACATCCCTGCTTAAATAATAATAAAAAATAAAAATAAGAAGTTTTTACTAATTTTTTCTAGTTTTTTATCATCGAAATAAAAAAAAAAAAAACATAAACTATGTATAAGTCATTTGACTTGAAAAATGGCGTGAATTTTTAACACTGTTTTATAGTGCGAAGAACTGTTATAGGAAAATTTTTTTTTTGAAAAGAAAAAAAAAATTCAAGCAATTCTAAAGGAGCAAAAAAAGTTTTCATATAAAAAAAACTTTTTCTTTTTCATTCCTCTTCCTTATTAATTTCAAAAAGTGAAAAGAATAATCAAAAAAAAAACAAGAAATTTTTTTTAAATAATTGTGCCAAAAATAAAAGTCGAAATTCTTGCGAAAGAGCTACTTTCCGATTTTTTATGCTTCCTTCTAAAAAAAATTTACATACATTATTTTTTTTTTCTGTCCCATCCATTTTAAAAAATATTATGACATTTTTAGGTTAAAATTAAATCAAATTATTATTTATCATCTAAAAAAAAGAAAAAAAAAAAATTATAATGTAAGAGACGAGATGACAAAATAAAAATGAAAAAATTTATTAAAAATCAAGTCATTTTACAAAATGGAAACCAAACAAATAATGCAGAAAATTTTTAAATTTCAATAAAAACCGAATAAAAAAATGGAAAATGAAAATTAGGACATTGATTTCAATAATTTTAAAAATAAGGCTAAATTGTGGTTTTTATTTAAAATTTAAATTTATTAAAAATTATTATTATTGACATTTTTTTATTTAAAAAAAAAAATATTTTTGCATCAAGTTATAAAATTGTAATGTGATTTGCATACCATAATAATATTCTACACGTTAACCTAAACCTAACCTTAAAAAATATGCAATTGCACTTAATTTATTCTTTTTAAAGTTGCTACCACACCGCAATAACGAAAATAATTTGTATTTAATATCATTCCCATCACACAATGCTACTTCAACTAAAATTTCACATTTTATTATAATATTCAAACTGTCGCTCTGTTTATAACAGTAAATTTCATAATACAATATTGTCAAAATAGACTTATCGTAGACACTCAGACAATCAATATCTTATCTCAGACAATCACCTAATAGCCTCTGCCACTATGAAAAAAAGCTCTGCCACGAACTTTTTCCTTAATTGTATTTCAAAATTCAAACATTTTTCATTTAAATAAATTTTTTTACCAATTTATTAAAAATACAATGTCTAAATACAAGTACATCTGGTCTTTTTTCTCTCAAAACTTTTTCAAACAAAAAAACAAAGCAAAAAAATCAAAAAAAGAGAAAATTTATGAAAAAGCAATAACACTTGAGAGAAAAACAATATTAGTATAATAAGATTTTTTTTTTTTTTAAATTACTTGTGTAAGCACTCTGTACACCATTTCTATAATTAATGACAATGAATAAACTTTATTCAATAATAAATTAAGATTACTTTATACATTTTAATCCAACCATTAAAAATAATTTAACGTGCTAATTTTCTTTTAACCTCATTTTATTTTTATTTTTTTCCTCTTATTTTGTTTTGTTATTATATGGAAAACAAAAAAAAGAGATATTTTGTGTATGTAAACGTGTATTTAATAATAAAATAACGGTATCTATATGCAAATAACATTTTTCCAAAATACGTATGTGTACTACACTGTACAGTGAAGTTTAAATACAAATATTGCTTAAATATATAATAAAAATTTTCAAAAATCCGGACGGTAATTTATTGTCCTAATCACCTTATTGTAAATATGGCGACTTCTAAACAGAAAATATTGGAATATATAATGCTGTGCATACAAATCAGATATATATTACAAACACGAAAATCAGAGCTCGAAATTAATCTATACTGATGTCGCTGTCATTTTCATTTATTATGTCAAAAACCGTAATTATGTTCAGCAACACTAATGTATAAAACGGTTTTTTTAGCGACAATAGGGTATCACATACGGCAATTGGGTATGGAATGAATAGAACTTTACATTCAGAGACGTTCTTCCTCCATTTCAAAACATTAAGCAATAAAGGTTTTTTTAGGGATTTGCTAAGTAATGAAGACTCTGTAGAGCTTTACAAGAGAGTTAAAAGATAAATAAGCTGAGATTTTACTTTTAAGTAGCGACCGCAGCAGATGTAACAAAATGTTTTAAACAAAAAAAAAGAATGTATAACTCTCATTAACAGGATGAGGAAACGAACTATTATACATTTCACCAACTGACAGACGAATAGCTAGAACACGATACTTTAAATACTTCACGTTAATTCGCATCTAGTTGAGGGTTAATACGAAATTATGTTACTTAAGGTTTATCATGAGAGATGGCATTACCATGGACATAATAACAGTCTATGCTTAAATTATCGAGAAATTACTGTATTAATTTCGTTTTTTTTTAAATTGTTTTAATTTTGTTCTTTTTCTTTTCAATTTTTGTTTCGTACTTTTTTGCGATTATCATAATACCCAATCTCACATATATATAAAAATATAATTCTAATTTTGTTTCTCTTGAACAAAAAAAAAATGTTTTTCATTTCTTTTACTCTTATACTTACACTGTTTTTTAAATATTATATTTTATAGGTGTTCCAGGCAAACGTAACGAAATCTACTATAACTGCTGTCCGGAACCATATATTGATATAACATTTGCCATAATAATACGTCGTCGTACATTATATTATTTTTTCAACTTAATTGTTCCATGTGTTCTTATTGCATCAATGGCCCTATTGGGATTTACACTGCCACCAGATTCTGGAGAGAAATTATCATTAGGTAAGTATACATAAATAAGTTATATATATATATATATATTTGAATAACATTTATATTATATACAATACACTAAATTCAAGCATTTGCATACCTCTGTTTATAATTTTTTATTAACAATTGTATGTCGCACATATGTTATGTGTTATGTATGTCGCACACTTTTTTTAATTCAAACGCTTCAGTTTTGGGCAACGAAAAAGCGAAGGGAAAAGTTTAGTTTAATTTAGTTTAATTTTTTTATCAAAAGTTTTATATATACTATTCCCTCTCCCACTCAGTATTATACTCAATATAAAAACGTACATTTTTAGTATCTATCACTTTCCCTCTCCCTTTGATATGAAGAACAAAAGATAAGAGAATAAATATTTTAATGAAAATATGTGGGATTTGAAAAAAAAAAACAGAATGACTATACATTTCTATTCCTTTTTTTAATGTAAAATACAAGGTTTAATCCAAAATAATTTATCTTGGCCTTTTTCTGATGGTTAATATGATCCTTAAGTAAAGTTTTAAAATAGTGTCCAGGTATGGAAGCAACTTTATATATTATATAGTTACCGATTCAGCGCCTCAGTCAATAAAACTTTTGATAATACACAGTATTAATCATCAATTGATAAAAATCTTGATCTAAAAGAAAATTTTCAGTTATATAATATTGACTTGTGTTGAGACACATAATTCAGATTAATACGAACAATTTACAGGGCTAATGTTCTGAAAATACCTTTTGCTTACAATAAAATACACGCCAAGCACCACTTAATTATTTAATCTAGTCATCGAACTACTTGAATGCTTTATATTTGAGTTCTTGAAATGTGTTTGTTGGTCTTTAGGCGTCTTATAATGAAGTCATATTAGGATTAGGCTCCTTTATGCATTTACATCTCTGAATATGACTAATGCTATCTGTACCCTGGCCGCAGAATCTACACAGTATTTTCGATTTACTATTAATATTATAACAGTAAATGAACAGCGACCTTCCTTTATAATTTTTGTGAACTAAAACACTCACAATAAACAACGTTTTAAATTTCATGCACTTGTCTACACTAAACAAAATGTCACCATTTTATTTCCAAGAATCAATTACAAGATCAGAGTTATAAACATTAACAAAATTTTTGACTTTAAAAAACATCATCTTTATTATAACAAGGGAATAAGTTAAAAAAAATTTCATTTATTCATTAAACGTACATGTAGTCTACTGTTTACAAACTCATCCCTTCATCATTAGATCCATTCAAGCCAGAAGCATATATCAAATACTTAATATGTAAGTATATTATGTGCCTTTTTGTTTCGTTATTTTTGTATATGTATCTGAATATGTTTATATAATAATAAATAAGCGTACCCTACACGTACATGTACACGGTGGTTGAAAAAATCATCAACGAACTAGATTTTTCGATTTAAAATTATTGGTATAAACAGAAATTTCCACAAAAATACATTTTGAACAGCTAACCGGTGTTACTCGAAGAAAAATTTCATATAAATGTATTTTAAGCCTTCAACAAATCATTCACCACAAACAACTACGATCTACAGTATGTGCTATTATTTTAGTTTTTTTAGTAAAATTTATGATTCCCATAAACAGCTTGCTACTTTTTACAAAAATTTTATATCACCTTGCAAATCAAAGTAAAATTTCATTTTTTTTTTGTTTGAGAATTAAAAAAAAAAGTTTTTAGACTCCGGTATGTTTTGGATCTCTTGCGCTCTACTTAATGTTTTCACTTTCCCTTCTGAGCAAAAACTTTTCTCTTGTTTTTTTTTTTGTTTTAGAAAGCAAAAATACGTAACTTTTTTAGTAGGAGGAGGCAAAAAAAATGAATTTAAAAAACTTTTTATTAAAAGTTAAAAATTACATTATTGAAATATATTGAAGAAATGTAAAAATGAGAAACATAAAAAAATTAACCAGGATTATACCATTTCCATAATTTTGTATAATACTCCAAATACTTGTACGTTGGAATGCATTGTTACTAAAATTTTTGGAATTTCTTGAATTCGCCATGGAAAACTTTCGTGTATTCTTCTTTTTTTTTTTCATTACCTTTGAAGAATTTTCTTGTCTTGTTTTTTTTTTTATTTCTCTTTCTTTTTTAAATTATAACAAAAAAAAACATATTAAGTAAAAACACTTAAATATCTTAAATAAATAAGTTAATTTGGAATATATAAATTTTCTGGGTGTATATTTTGGGTGATGTTGTTGAAAGCAATCGGTTCTTATAGCAACGACAATTGTTTTACGAGAGTCAATCACTAGGTGTAAATTATTATAGCACTTAATGATTTAGAAGAATTATACTTGATTGAAGTACATACACTTGCTATCCGAACATAAAACATTTTTCTCCTTGTTTTTAATAAAGCATAAAATTAGAGTATTTCTACAAATCAAGTCAAATATTGGCAAAATATTCAACTATGAGACGAATAATCTAAAATAATTTCTGTTTCTTACGTTATTTATTATAATTAATTATTTTCACTTTTGTTTTAACGAGTGATTCTCACGCAGCATTGTGGTCCTCCGAGCCTCAAAAGGTGTTCGAGTTCATCAGGAGTAGTGATCTGGAGCGGATGTTGGAGAAACATGCTCCATATTTAGAGGAGACACGACAGATAGTTCTATTTAGCTGAGGTGCTCTGTTACCTCGATTTTACACATCTACAAATCTATAATAAACGTGCGATTATTATTTCTTTTTAAATTTTAGAGGTTATAAACTTCTGTTAATAGAGTGTCCGGCTAATGTAACGTGTTCGATTTCAGTTTGAGACAAAAAATTTTTAATTTTTCTGCCTTAACTCGTTTCTTTAACTACGTCATTCATGTGCTCAACAGGTCAGTTTGTTGTGTAAAGAAATTTTCATTGTATATTTCTACACTTAAAAAATTATTCAATATATAATTGAAATTCAGTAATTACGAACTTATTTAACTACATTTTTAACAAGTTTTTAATATAATGGAGGCCGCTCTGATCAATTCGCGTTTTTGATATCTTACATGGTGTGACCGTTTAAGTAATCGCAACTTCAAGATGGAAGTTTGTTTTTGGTTTGAAAAATTAGTCATTTCTTTCTTTATGCTCTTTCACATGAAATTTTCTGGTCTTCACCAGAACATATGCAATAATCATCCAATGTTGTTTAGACAATAAAGGCGATATTTTTTAGAAGGAATATATAAAAATATTGAATAGATACATATAGCTTTCATTCTATATGATAATTGTCCAATTCTATAATGCCAATCTGAAGCAAGGTTCAGTATTTTTAACTGGATAATTTGATATACGTAATATAATAATTGCTTACACAGAATTCTACCACTTTATATCAACAAGCTTGTCATTATGGCAAACTAAACTCTCGATATTGAATAGTTCATTCATCTAATGATTAAATTTCAATAAAATTTACCATTTTATTTTTTTACATTTTCATTCATAATACGTTAATGATTAATATTTTTATTAATTATTGTTAAAGTTTATATATAAAAATATTCAAAAAAAAAAAAAAACTCTCATAAAATATAAGCACTTAAGAAATCTTCAATATAATTGTGTTAACAATCGCTTCATTGAATTCATTTCCTATAAAATAATAAAAAAAATTTCTATAAATTCTTTTATAAATTGTTTTTTTCAACTCCCCAAAAAAAAAAAATAAACAAAAAAACATAAAACCATTATGTTTAATGATAACTTTGCTCTTTTTGTTTTTCTTTTGTTTTTTGATTAAATGTCATACACAACTGTTCAAAAACCATTCCATTTTGAAATATATAATTTCTTTCTTTCTAATATTATCATCTCTCCCATTATCAACTAAGTATGTCCCCCTTTGCATTTCTTTTCCAGTAAACACAATTGAAAAAGAAAAATAAATTTTTCTTTAAAACAAAAAAAAAAAAAAGAAATGAAATGTGAAATCTATGGAAAGTAAATAAAAATTTCGTTTTATTTTTTTTGTGTCTCCGATTCTTCCTGGATAATATATGAAATATAATAAACACATTTAACAATAATATTATTACTATACATACATACAATCATATTTAAAGGTACAATGAACGGAAAACGGTTCTTTTTGTTTCATAAAGACGATTAATTTTTAAAACAGACATTTTGTATAATAATAATAAAATAATTTTCTTAAAAATTTTATTTTATTATTAATCTTTTTATTCAATATTAAACTATTATGATTATAGAACGATTAGAGAAAACTATATATACAGGATGTCAAAGACTTTATGCGGTATACCCGAAGTAAAATGATTGAATGAAAATTGATTTCTCTCGTTATTTGTACTATTACATTCTTTCTCTCTCTCTCTCTCTCTCTCTCTCTGAAAAAATGGTGAGATTTGATTAATTTATATTTAAAAGTTAACAAAATTGCCTTTCTTGTAACACATAACATTGGACTTAAGGACTTGTTATTTTACGTAATAATTAAGAAAAAAATCAAAGCTCTTAGGAATTATTTTGTGTAGCTTCTCCTTTTTACTTTTTTTGTTTATTTTGAATTATAAGCTCTATACTACTAAACCCAATATTCCGGATTATTAAACGTAGTATTCCAGGAAATTCCAAGAACTTACCTTGTCCTTCATTTTGATGTCTGAAAACTAGATATCGTGTCATAAGAAAAGTCTCTATTATATTAGTTTGTTCCTCATTCTATACATTCAATGATCCTTTCTCAGTAGATTCTTGTTAAGACACTCTGTATATAAATTATGAAATACATACATATAAATATTTATAGATGTATTTTATAATATCTTATAATTTTTTCTTTAAATTTATGAAAACAAAAATTTTCTCATTATTTTCATATCATAGCAGAAATTTTTTAAGGATATTTGAAGAGAAATTTTTGTCTTTATTTCATATCGTTATTTATATAATATTATGGGTTTACTCTTACTCTGTAGGTGTTAATAGAAAAGAGTATGAAATAAATACAAAAATTTTGCCTTTTATAACTAATAATATAAATATAAACTGGCTATTAGAGATTATTATGAAAAGAGGGCAATGACCGAAACAGTAAAACAATATATATAGAAGAAAAGCAATAAACAAAAAATAATATGAAAAAAAGAGAAAAGAAAATATTATATAATTTTTTTTTATAATGACAACATTTATTTTATTTTCAATCTCTCTTTCTCTCTTTCTCTTTACTTTTAATACTTATATCATGCTTATAGAATGCACCTATAATTTCTATCTCTCTCTATCTCTCTCTATGTATCTTCCCTCTTTTTCTTTTTTATTTAATATTAGATAAAATTTATAGACAAAAGTATCTTACAATTTATCTTAAACACACTTTTCATTTCACAGAATTCTCCTAAATTTATGCAATAATTTTTTTTTTCTTGTTAACTTTTCTAAATTTTGTTTAGATAAGAAAAAAAAAATAATAATAAAAAATAGAATAGAAAAATGAAGACAACAAATGTTTTGACAACACGCTTCATTTCTTTAAATCATTAATTTTCTTTACATGAAGAAACATATTATTATAAACATTTTATACATAAATATCATTAAAATCAAAAAAAAAAAAAGAAAGAAAAAAAATTCTAGGACACAAATTCATCCTAGTCCAAACCATATTTTTTTTCTTATATAAGAATATGATAGCAATTTATTAAGGAAACTCTCCTACCCTCTGTTGACCTTTTTTTTTTCTTTCTTTATTTCATAAATTTTCAAATGGTTTTCTGTTTTGTTGAAGAAAATCAAAAAAAAAAAATAATAATCAAACAAAAGGAATGTCCTTTTTATTTCACTGACTTTACATAAAACTTCATTTTTTTTTTCTCTTTTGTTCTTTTAAAATACAAAAAAAAAAAGATAAGAGAATTGTACACGCCCATGTTAAATGTGTCTCTTAACATACAACAATAATGATATTTTCAATTTAATAAAGCACAAAAATTTACTTAAAATATTTTATAAAGAACTTAAAAATATCTTACATAATAATGCAAAAATTCTCCATTTTAATATAATAAAGAAAATTTCATTATATGACAAACAAACAAACAACAATATAGTCAGTCAGTCAGTCAGTCAGAGTTTATGATAAACTTTTTGTTGTGTCTGTTTGTATAAAATGTCAAAAAATTAAATAATTTAAAACTATTTATCATTATTTTTGTGTGTTCTTTCGTTTGTTTTTTTTTGTTATTTTTTATTTTTATTAAATCTAAATATAAATTTTGAAAAGATTTTGGTTCAAACATATTGTTTATAATAATCATTTTTCATTTATATAATATGAGTTAGAAGCACAGTTAGGAGCTGGGAGAGTAAAATAAATGTTATAGCTATGAAAATTGCAATATTTATTTTACAGATCCTAAAAATATGCAAAAAAACAAAAATATAATAAATAAAGAAAAAAAACAAGTAACACAATGATGGGTGAAATTAATTTTTCAGATTTTTTTAGAATTAAAAAATGTCAGGAAAAATAACAACTTATCAAGTCAAAAATTATAATAGGATTAGTGAGATAAAACAATAAATGACGTTATAATTTCTTATTGAACATTGATTCCGACATTCAATTCTGACATCCCTGAACTGGGACTAAATTACAATATTGCTAGAAGTGAAAGAAATCTTATACTAACAATCATCTCTTAAAAATTTAAGAGTTCCAAAACCATAAATGTGTAATCCGGAACCATTATGGTGATTTAAATTAAAATTAAACTGAAATTAAGACAAATGTAAGCATCTTTGCTTATTTATCAGCATTTATCGAATAAATTTCGCCAGGAAATAAATTTTGGCAATTATAAGCTCTTAGCTACTGCGATTATTGGTTATATTAAGAGAAATGTTCAATTTCTTCTTACTGCAAATACTTATTTTCTACTTATTCTATGAACATACGTATTAGAATTTATTCGCTACTAGAACTACACTAATAAATTATTAATTTTTTGTTCATAACTTGAAATCTAATTATTTTATTATTTAATATATTTATATTAATGTTACTATATTTTCATAATATTTCAGGTGTGACAATACTTCTCTCACTTACTGTCTTCCTTAATATGGTGGCAGAAACAATGCCAGCAACATCTGATGCTGTTCCGCTTTTAGGTAATAATTTTAAATGAATTTTTATTTATAACACAGCTAAATAATAATATGTATAAGGTTTGTAATATAATTATTTTGAATAATAATGTAAAATGAAGAATATTTATTTGCATGGCGAAAACTTACATCAATGCTATTTTTGTATTAATCAAATTGAAATTTTGTCTTTCTTAAATTCTCTCTTTCAATAGTTCCAATTTTTTCCTCTGACTCAGTTCTATACTTAGTAGATGAATCACTATAGCACATTTTTATTTAAAATTTCAATTCATAACTGAGTAAATAAATTTTCTGAAAATTAAAAACGTTCATCATTTTAAAATTTTGGCATGCGGGAAATCCGATGCGGTATTGGCAAAACGCATATGACTCCCTCTATAAATTTTACAATATATAAAAAATTATTCCAATATTTATTTTATTCAAAACAACAAATCACATAATTGGGAACAGTAAGAATGAAACAGAATTCTCATAAAATTTCACAAAATTTTTTCATAAAACTGTAGTCCATATACAATTGCATTCGTCATTTACAGTTTTCCAAATAATTTTCTAATAATACTTTTTTTCCATATTTCGGATATTACAACAAAATTTGTTTTCTTCCTAATTATGTACATCAGTAATGACCTACTTCGTAACCAATTTTTTATTAAAATAAATGTCTAATAATAAAATTTTAATTTTTTAAAAGAAAAACAACAAAAAAATAAAATGAAAAATTTCAACAAATTTTTTTTTAAAGCAATGGCAATACTTTTATTTTACCATTACCACAAAATTAATAATTCAAAATAATTTTCTTTCAATATATTAGGCACTTAAAATGTGATTTAGTTTTAGATCAAATTATTTCTGCATTCTAATATTATATCACATACATATATGCACATACGTACATATACGAGAGAGTAAAAAAATATTTCATTTTAAAATTTTTATTTTTTCAGTTTTCAATTTTTCATTTTAGTTTTTTTGACGACCCAGTTTTTTTTTCCAAAAAATTTTTTTAAATTAAGAATTTGCTTGATTTAACATAAATTTTAAATTAAGTTTTCAGCATACTTTTCAAAATAAAAATAAAAAAAAAAATTGGGTTAATTTTGTTGATTTTTGACAAGAATAATAAAATTTTATCTATAAAATATTTTCTAGAATATCTAGTAGAGCAGTAGATTTAAAATTAGAATGAATTTTTTAGTTTAATAAATATAAAAACGGTTTTCCTTCGACTACCTTTTACAATTTTGTTTCATATGCGTTCTTGATTTTTTTTGATTTTAAATTTCATCAATTTTTTTTTTCATTATATCTGTTAAAGAAGAGAAATCCCTCATATTTTTTGCTTTTTGAAAATTTTTTTTTGGTTGTATATAACAGGTTCTATTCAAAAATTCAATGTTTCGGTTCAATAAGTTAAGATTTTCACCTTGAAAGTTCGAATTATAAAAAATCTTTTCTAATGGTAAAGAAAATCATTTATTGAAGAAAAATCGTTTTTCTTTATCATCAATAGGATCCTTTGATTAGAAAATTCTAATAATTTAATGCGTAAGGAAACAGTTTTCTTGCCATAGTGTCTTTTAAAATAAATGAATTATTATCGAAAAGAGTTTGCATTTATTAATTTCAGGCAGCTAATGAACAGAAAATATTTTATCTTTATTACACAATTTTTGCGTTTCCCTCCTTCTTCAAAATTTCCGCCTCCTTTTAAAGTTATTTGAAATTTTGCAAGACCCCCTACCTTGGCAAAAAATTAAAAATTTTTTGAAATTTTGCACGACCCCCTACCTTGGCAAAAAATTGAAAATTTTTTAAAATTTTGCACGACCCTCTACGTCGGCAAAAAATTGAAAATTTTTTAAAATTTTGCACGACCCCCTACCTTGGCAAAAAATTGAAAATTTTTTAAAATTTTGCACGACCCCCTACCGTGTCCAAAAATTGAAAATTTTTCAAAATTTTGCACGACCTTGGCAAAACCTCAAAAAATCAAAAATTTTTTCAAATTTTTTGAAATCTTGCGCGACCTTGGCAAAAAATCAAAAAATTTTTAAAAATTTGCACGGTAAAAAATTAAAAAATTTTTGAAATTTTTCACGACCCCCTACCTTGACCAAAAATTAAAAATTTTTTAAAATTTTGCACGACCCCCTACCTTGGCAAAAAATTGAAAATTTTTTAAAATTTTGCACGACCCCCTACCTTGGCAAAAAATTGAAAATTTTTTAAAATGTTGCACCACCCCCTACCTTGGCAAAAAATTTAAAATTTTTAAAAATTTTGCACGACCCCCTACCTTGTCATTTGCCACCTAAAAAATTTTTAAAATTTTGCACGACCCCCTACCTTGGCAAAAAATTGAAAATTTTTTAAAATTTTGCACGACCTTGGCAAAACCTCAAAAAATCAAAAATTTTTTCAAATTTTTTGAAATCTTGCGCGACCTTGGCAAAAAATCAAAAAATTTTTAAAAATTTGCACGGTAAAAAATTAAAAAATTTTTAAAATTTTTCACGACCCCCTACCTTGACCAAAAATTAAAAAATTTTTAAAATTTTGCACGACTCCCTACCTTGGCAAAAAATTGAAAATTTTTTAAAATTTTGCACGACCCCCTACCGTGTCCAAAAATTGAAAATTTTTCAAAATTTTGCACGACCTTGGCAAAACCTCAAAAAATCAAAAATTTTTTCAAATTTTTTGAAATCTTGCGCGACCTTGGCAAAAAATCAAAAAATTTTTAAAAATTTGCACGGTAAAAAATTAAAAAATTTTTGAAATTTTTCACGACCCCCTACCTTGACCAAAAATTAAAAATTTTTTAAAATTTTGCACGACCCCCTACCTTGGCAAAAAATTGAAAATTTTTTAAAATTTTGCACGACCCCCTACCTTGGCAAAAAATTGAAAATTTTTTAAAATTTTGCACGACCCCCTACCTTGGCAAAAAATTGAAAATTTTTTAAAATTTTGCACGACCCCCTACCGTGTCCAAAAATTGAAAATTTTTTAAAATTTTGCACGACCTTGGCAAAACCTCAAAAAATCAAAAAGTTTTTAAAATTTTTTGAAATCTTGCTCGACCTTGGCTAAAAATTAAAAAATTTTTAAAAATTTGCACGACCCCCTACCTTGGTAAAAAATAAAAAATTTTTGAAATTTTTCACGACCCCCTACCTTGACCAAAAATTAAAAATTTTTTAAAATTTTGCACGACCCCCTACCTTGTCATTTGCCACCTAAAAAATTTTTAAAATTTTGCATGACCCCCTACCTTGGCAAAAAATTGAAAATTTTTTACAATTTTGCACGAACCCCTACCTTGTCCAAAAATTGAAAATTTGTCCAAAAATTGAAAATTTTTTAAAATTTTGCACGACCCCCTACCTTGGCAAAAAATTGAAAATTTTTTAAAATTTTGCACGACCCCCTACCGTGTCCAAAAATTGAAAATTTTTTAAAATTTTGCACGACCCCCTACCTTGGCAAAAAATTGAAAATTTTTCAAAATTTTGCACGACCCCCTACCTTGGCAAAAAATTGAAAATTTTTTAAAATTTTGCACGACGCCCTACCTTGACACAAAATTGAAAATTTCTTAAAATTTTGCACGACCCCCTACCTTGGCAAAAAATTTAAAATTTTTAAAAATTTTGCACGACCCCCTACCTTGTCATTTGCCACCTAAAAAATTTTTAAAATTTTGCACGACCCCCTACCTTGGCAAAAAATTGAAAATTTTTTAAAATTTTGCACGACCTTGGCAAAACCTCAAAAAATCAAAAATTTTTTCAAATTTTTTGAAATCTTGCGCGACCTTGGCAAAAAATCAAAAAATTTTTAAAAATTTGCACGGTAAAAAATTAAAAAATTTTTAAAATTTTTCACGACCCCCTACCTTGACCAAAAATTAAAAAATTTTTAAAATTTTGCACGACCCCCTACCTTGGCAAAAAATTGAAAATTTTTTAAAATTTTGCACGACCCCCTACCGTGTCCAAAAATTGAAAATTTTTCAAAATTTTGCACGACCTTGGCAAAACCTCAAAAAATCAAAAATTTTTTCAAATTTTTTGAAATCTTGCGCGACCTTGGCAAAAAATCAAAAAATTTTTAAAAATTTGCACGGTAAAAAATTAAAAAATTTTTAAAATTTTTCACGACCCCCTACCTTGACCAAAAATTAAAAAATTTTTAAAATTTTGCACGACGCCCTACCTTGACACAAAATTGAAAATTTCTTAAAATTTTGCACGACCCCCTACCTTGGCAAAAAATTGAAAATTTTTCAAAATTTTGCACGACCCCCTACCTTGGCAAAAAATTGAAAATTTTTTAAAATTTTGCACGACGCCCTACCTTGACACAAAATTGAAAATTTCTTAAAATTTTGCACGACCCCCTACCTTGGCAAAAAATTAAAAAATTTTTGAAATTTTTCACGACCCCCTACCTTGACCAAAAATTAAAAATTTTTTAAAATTTTGCACGACCCCCTACCTTGTCATTTGCCACCTAAAAAATTTTTAAAATTTTGCACGACCCCCTACCTTGACACAAAATTGAAAATTTTTTAAAATGTTGCACCACCCCCTACCTTGGCAAAAAATTTAAAATTTTTAAAAATTTTGCACGACCCCCTACCTTGTCATTTGCCACCTAAAAAATTTTTAAAATTTTGCACGACCCCCTACCTTGGCAAAAAATTGAAAATTTTTTAAAATTTTGCACGACCTTGGCAAAACCTCAAAAAATCAAAAATTTTTTCAAATTTTTTGAAATCTTGCGCGACCTTGGCAAAAAATCAAAAAATTTTTAAAAATTTGCACGGTAAAAAATTAAAAAATTTTTAAAATTTTTCACGACCCCCTACCTTGACCAAAAATTAAAAAATTTTTAAAATTTTGCACGACGCCCTACCTTGACACAAAATTGAAAATTTCTTAAAATTTTGCACGACCCCCTACCTTGGCAAAAAATTGAAAATTTTT